TGTTAGATAGGCAACATGCGAAAAGAAAAAAAAAAAGGCACGAGAAAAACATTGCTTTACAAACCTTAAGACTCAATAAAAAAAATGATATTTTGCGTATGAAAGCATTGTAATGTTTACTGATAATGTGCCAAATTTTGTTAACATTCGCTTACAAATTTAAAAGTTATAGCATGAAACTATAACAAGCACAAAATGGTTAAAAGGTCGGTCCAAGGTACCGAGCCCATGCTGAAAGAGTTAATACTCTATTTTTGTCTGCTAATAATTTATATGTACCTTTTGTGACTGAAAATGTTGAATTTACAAAGAACTAAAACATCGCCTCAAAAGACATGAGTAATGAAATGAAAATTAATCCTCACATACTTTTGAGACTGAGTCAAAAAACCTAAATTAAGTCTTGAGGAAAGCACATCACAACTTGACAATATGAACACACAAACATACTGATTGTGAAGTAAAAAATGAAAGCCAATAAAGTAAAATATAAATGAAACACAAGATAGTGAAAACCAACCCTTTCTTCTTCGTGCTGTTCATTCTTGTCCAAAGAAGCATCAATTGCATCAAAAAATTCTTCTTCATTGATCACACAGTGGGGACCCTCCTAGTGTAGTATATAATGATATCTTGATACTCACATATCAACGAAAATGTTAAAATATTACTATTTTCACTTAGTTTACATAATTTCTAAAAATATTATTACAGCTTTGTAAATCAGTCATGAAAAATTGGGTTCTTTATATACGCCAATGAAAAATAATAGTTATATATATATATTTTATAAGCTAGAAAGTATCAACTACAATTATAATAAACTGAAATGCTATTAATTTTGTTGAGTCATACAAATTAATTCACAGAGAAAACAGCATATATCACAGCAATTTGTCACTCCCTAATTTTTATATTTGCTATGGTTATAAGTAAATCTAATCCAGATATTATAATATTGAATGATAAAACATAAACCTCGTAATCAGGACCTCCCAAAACTACTGGCTGTTGAGACTTAGCTTCTGAAACTGCATGTTTGTAGAGTTCATCTAATCTTTTCGTTTTTTCCACTTCCTGAATAAAAAGTTCCATAAATACTTACATATAGTAGTTATTACAGTTTTACTTTATCATCAAACAACTCGAAGAAGTTAGGTAAACATACCAATCAAATCGTAGAAAATAACAATAAAAATTCCAATTTAACTAAAAAATCAAATTCTAATCTACTTTCTTATTCCTTGAACCCTCTTATCAAGTAGATAATTTTAACCTTAAAGATTTGTAGATCCATTTGAGGAATTCTTGGTAAACAGAAAATTAATTAAAACATCTAATTATCTTAATCTTGTACATCCATCTACATACCACCCATAATACACCTGAAACATAATAAGATACATCGTCAATGATTACACCGATAGCCAATTTTTTGTACTCCATAAATTACAGCAGATGATATACTACAGAAATAACTTTACAAAACAAAGGACATAAAAATAACTTTCTTCCTCACACAAAACTCAATAAATCTAAAGCAAAAAATAATATTTTATTGTCAAATTTAGGTTCAAAATTAAATCATTATTACAACAAACATTTAGAAAAATAAAAAAAATACATATTTTGAGACCTGATTTACAAAACTACTAAGAAAGTAACATTTCACAACCTTTTTTGTAAAATTTCCTGCAATGAATTATTAAACACAGCTAAATCTATCTGTATAATAACTACTAACTAAGTACATGTTATATGGACAAAAGGGCTTGAAATTTTGTATGTAAGCTTTTGCCCCTCATACAACATAAATGGAAAAAAAGAACATATAAAAAAATCATGTCATCATGTCTCCAAGAATTAAGGGGTCAAGAGTATTTTTATTATCTCAAGGTTCACATAAAAAACTGGTATTAATGGCTAAGGGACCATTCAAAATAATATTGATTTAGATTTTGAAACTTTTAGCATTGAGTCCTTAGATGGAGGGTCAAAGAAGATTTTCAAGAACAATTATAATTGGATACACAGATTTACATGAAATTAACATAGCGATACAAGAGATTCTTAAAAAAAAGGATCTATATTTAGACTTTTGAAAATTTTAATAGTGGATTCCCTGAAGAGTAAGCAAGGTGTTTTTGTGGAGGTCTCAGAATAGACTGCATGGAATTTACTTGAAAACTAACAAGAACATGGAAGAAAGTTATTCACAACAAAGGGTGCACAATATTTTGTATAGTTATTGATTCTCAGGTAATTTACTAAGAATATTAAGCAGATAACTTACACAACAGAAAGCAAAAGTAAACTTTTGAACCTAGAATTTAAAACATTAGTAGTAAACATTTCTATGAGAAAACAAACTGACAAAGTGTAATCTTTACTCCTGACAAACAAATCTAACAAATTATTAGATTAATATAAAATTCACATATAATTCCACCAATGTTCATTAGTAAATAATAACTTTCAATCACAGTAAGCTATGTAATAGAGCAAAACTCAAAATAACCTGGCCAAGAGCTTAGCTAATTAAATATACTTTTCTTACGTTTCTACTTATAAAGATTAGAATGAATTATTTCAACAGTTGGATAAGCTTGCTGTTAACGATATTTTGGCCTCAATACCAGTTTGAATTTCTGATCATTGGCCACAGTTTTTCTAACAGAGAAAGAAAGGTAATTTATTCTGAAGGAAAAATGACAAGAATATCTTACCTTTTCTAAGTGATGTTTCCAATTTTCCTCACGTTGCTGCATAATATCAATGCAATGTGCGAGGATAGATAGAATTCCAGCAGTAGTAGCTTTGAATGTAACTGCTTCCCCTTTAAAGTCGACAGCATGAGACCCATGTTGGGATAACAACTCCTTGGTTACATGAGGAGTTTGGATATGATCTAAAACAAAATTACAAATATAAAAGAAGTCACAAATCAACTTGGGATTAAATCTATTATGTAAATAGATCAAAACCAGGGACAAGTTAAACACACACAAATAACAGATCATAAACAAGTGTTAGGATAAATCTACCTTGTGATTAGAAAGAATGTTCCAGTAAAGCAGTAGTAATTGAATTAATAGGTACATATTTTTACAGTTTGAGATCTAAATGTTAATTCTTTCATCTGAAATCATTTAATTGGTAGTATTTTTTTCTTAAATTCAAAACTAAATTCATATTTCCAATCTTCATGTTTTTATACAAAAATGTTTGAATATTCATAGAAAGTAGAATACTGAAATATGAAGATTTAATTCAATGAATTAACAATATCAGAAAATAGTTGATGTGTATTAAAGTATAACATATGAATATACCTTTATATTTGCAGGAACTGAGAACTGTACTGTAAATCATATCTTCAGGATTGACATCCGGATTCAGAGAGGTTAAGTTGTCCTCAATATCTTCATCCACTAATTATTAACACAACGAAAAAAACATTTTATTTTGAGCTGAGCCTTAAGATTATCAATACTTAAAAAATATGTTAATTTTTCTCCTAGATTTTAGAAATGTACAAAGAACAAAATTACAAACACAACACTTTCAGCAGAAGGTTATCAAAACATGTTTTAAAACAAAATGATATTACACCAAAATATACTTCACAAACACTGAATACAACAGTGAGTTGCCTGATCATAAATTATAAACAACAGAATATTACCTAAGCATCCAATATTATTGGTTTAAGGTCTGAAAAATAATTTGGATAGTGGCCTTAGCAAGTTACTAATATCAAGACACAGTGCAGCCAAAACAACCTGCAGGACACACTGTGTGTTATAAACAAGAGTGATAGTTTATAAATTTTCCATCATTAGTTTTAAAGAAAACATCATCAAAATGATCTAGCTGTATAACCAATTCTTAGCCAAATCTAACAGAAAAAACTTTGGAAATATGTTTAATTTCTGAATCATTTCAGAATTTCTGCACTTTCAAATCCCCAAAAAACAACAAGTACAAAAAATACACATATAGCAAATATATTATATAATATTAACCACGACTTACCGTACATTTCCAACTGCTAAATCAAAAGGAAAACTGCTGTTTTACAAACAAAATGAAGGAAACAATAAAAAAGTTACCAGAAAGAACAAATCACAAAAGTAAAATTTAGCTTTATTTTTCATTAGGACATACTTGCAGGACACTGAAACTAACATTCCAAGCCAGCAAAGTCTTTGCAACATAAAGCTAGAAAAAACACAGGTATTAAACATTTAGCAAGTGACTCAAAATTTTTTAGTGCAACTAATTTTAAAATTGATTAAAACTCACATAACGAATTAGTACTAACAGTGAAAATAATTTTCTCTATCATTTGTTGTTGCAACGGTGTCGGCACAAGTGTCAAAGTAGCTCTGTAGCATATCAACTTGCCGACACAAGATGTCTCGGAACGTTTCCATCTCAGCTAGTTTAACCTTGAGACTTATCGCTTTCTTAAACGATGACACGCTGGCAGTGGAAAAATTAGCTGAACCAAGAGAGATGGCAGAACCATGGCGACGTAAGCTACTCTCACTTCCATAAGCAGAATCAGCCTAAAGGAAAGACAGAAACATATAATCAATGTGGTTCTCAGCTGAAAAATATCAAGTTCATAAAAGTATTACAACAATGAAAAAACACTTTGATATAATATTGGTTTGTTAATTTTTTGTAGTTTTGAATAGATGAAAATTAAGTTTGGGCTTCCAAAGAGTTGAGTCAACTTTGTGAACAGATTTATTGGGAATCCAAAACATATATTTTAAAGATGTTATGCATTCCAATTAAGTTTAAACTTTTTATTCTGAAACTGTATTTTCACCTGTACAAAAGGTAAGTGATATATCTTAATATTAAAATGTGTAGTATTAGCATTTCAGAATACTATACAGTTCAGATACATCTAAACCAGATAATGAACAAATAAGCTACGGTAACTAACAACTAAAACTGCAGAAAAACACAGTCACTCAGTTTCCTAAAAACATAGTCACTACCTGTAGTCACATAAATTCAAAAATCAAAAAATCAGTAAAGTCCTGTTATACAGCAGAGTATAGAGAAATCGTGCATGAGTGAATAGGTTCTGTTAGGTAGCATGTTAACCCCTATGTGCACATGCCACAACCTTTTACAGAGTTCCATCCAACAAGGTATTACGAATTTGATGTCAGAATTACAGTGTTCATTTTACCCTACATTACCAATTTAGCAAAGTTTATGGTAGAAGTGAGTAAATACCAGATACAATGTACAGAAATACAAAAAAACTTTAGATATGCATTTCAGAGGCTAGAGGTTATGCAAATATAATATGATGCACAAAATTATTTTTATTCTTCAGATGAGCATCAACTCACACTTCAATTTGTCTGACTAAGAATGACATTGTCAATTCACAAATATGTCTTGAGTACAAATACTTTTGTGACTCATCTGATTTCTTGTATACAACAGACTTGAACATTTTACTTAAAGCTTGCCATATTTTGTAGAAATACACATAGTAAATTATACTCAACACACCAATATGTGGTAGGTCCATTGGACCAACACCATGCACCTTTGGATAAAGTGCAAGTGCAATGAGGCATGAATGATTGGATGAAAGAACTTAGAAAAGGTTCTGTCAAATAGGTGAAATAATACACAATAGTCATGGAAAAATACATGAAATAAGCCGGAAAAAAACAGAGAGAGCCAAACCTGATGAAACAAACACTGAGCTAATTATTTAAATAACTGAAAGCATGAAAAATCCAATTAGCATAATGTAGACTTAGCAGCTGGAACTAGTGAATGACACACTACTTGATAAAAAAAAAGTATACAAAACAAATATTTCTGCACAATGTATTATTTATCAAGATACATAACTGAAATAATTGAAATGCTTTATGAATGGGTTTAAAAAAGTAACCAATATTTGAAATAAATTTGTTACTAATGATTTTCATTGTGGAACATATATTTATTTAAAAAGAACGTTCCTGAAACATTTTAATTTAGTTATGTTTACATACAACATATATCTTTTAGACTAGAACCTACTTTACAAGTCTCCAAGATTTCAACCCAACGATTTCTCTCTTCAGGACAGTCAGTTCGGAGGTACCACACACAATCATGGACACTTACATCGAACCTACACTCATCAAATTCATGTGGCTATAAGAAAAACTTTATCAGCAAATTGTTGTCCTAAGTCCCATAGTTGAATATTAACATAAATGTTAACATGATAAAAACTGTAGCCCTAACTGCAACTTTACGAAAGTTGCCTAATATATTCATATTTGCACGGCACAATTATTATCCCTTGATCAGTCACATACCTCACTCTTACACTTCTAAATTTCCTGATGTTCTACACAGTCACATATCTCACTCTTAAGCTTCTAAATTTCCTAATGTTCTACACAGTCACATATCTCACTCTTACACTTCTAAATTTCCCGATGTCCTACACAGTCGACTGTGTAGAACATCAGGAAATTTAGAAGTGTAAGAGTGAGATATGTAT